CACACGAAAGCAAGCATATACTGGATAACCTATGAACTGCCGGGAGTTTTTTGATGGTCCAGAAGCAGATGGCAACCACGTTCCCATACTTAACCCAGGAATGACTTTCTTTCTATTGGGAGGATTGGCTTTAGGTGAATGCACAGCTTTTGAAGAGACTCACCTGGAGCTCTGAGAAAGGAAGAGGATGACATACATGTTGGCTGAATCAACCCAACAGTCAGCGAAGTGTAGGTGCTACAGTGAAATAAAGCCTCACTGTAGAAAATTCACTGATTTTGAACACGACTTTTATAGTCTGTTTACCATCAATGAGCAGAGAAACTCCATCCACATTTCACTACTCACAGTGCAGTCTGGAAAAACTTCATTGAGTTTTGGTCTCATACAGACACAGACACACGATCTGATGCTTATACAAATGTAAATGTGTTCCCATCCCTGTGAAAGCTGCATTTTTGTGAGCAGCAACTCTTCTGACTTATTTTCTGTTATTTCTAGGACATAACCACTTCCTCTTTCTCAGTTCTATGAAAAACAACTATGCCAAGGAGCTATGAGACTAAAAAACAGAAAATAACTACATTAAGTAAACTGTTGATTCAGATAGTGCTGGCTGATATCAGTGTCAATTCAGAAGTAGCTGGGGTGGACAGAGGTATGTGTGTGTGCAGATTGCAGATGCAACTTGCTGATAGATTGGGGGACAGGGGACAGAAAGCAAGGTGATGAGAGCCCGGATTCTGGGACAGCAGGTCTGATTTTGAAACTTGATACCATCACTTTCTAGCTTCATGAAATTGAGCAAATTACTTTCTTAAATCTCGCTTTGTATCAGATGCTATACATGAAAGATGAATATAATAATATCTATCTAAAAATTTTGATGATTTATGATTGATTTAAATTATATATAAGAGATTTTTATTTCATAATATTTATGAAAATTTATCTCTATCTCCACACACACATACTTAATAGTGCCTAGCACATACTAGTAAGTCCTCAAAAAGCTGTTAAATTATACAAGAAACCAGTATGTGATACTTCCTACTTATAGTAAGGCAAGGTGTTCTTGGTAAACCCAATTTTTAGTTAATTCTAAAAGCTGTTTCATTCTAAAACTATGCTTTCTTCTGGACTGCTTTGAGGATTAAATTAAGATATAGTCCATGCCATTTATTATTCCTTCCACAAATATCTTTGTAAATAACGTGATAGTCACTTCCTTAATAAGCTCAACATATTGGTATAACTTACTGTATTAGTCTATTTTGCATTGATATAAAGGAAATATATGAGGCTGGGTAATTGACAAAGAAAAGAGGTTCACAGTTCTGCAGACTGTACAAGAAGCATGGCGCCAGCATCTGCTTCTGGTGAGGGCTTTGGGCAACTTCCAATCAAGGCAGAATACAGAGGGGCAGCAGGTGTGTCACATGGCGAGAAAGGGAACAAGAGAGAGCCCACATTCTTTTAAATAACCAGCTCTCCCATGAACCAGTAAAGCAAGAACTCATAATCAATGGGAGGGCACAGAGCCATTCATGAGGGATCTGTCCCCATGACCCAAACGCCTCTCACCAGGCTCCACCTCCAACACTGGGGATGGAATTTCAACATGAGATTTAGAGGGGCCAAATTTCCAAACTGTATCACTCATTAAAGCACTCAGTTTTTGGATACTGTTACAGCCTGAAGGATTTGGAAAACATCAGAAAATGTGCATAATGAAAAAGTATTAGTAATGCACTTCAAAGCATTTACTTCTTCAATAGTTAAAAATGATTTCTTTCAAGCTTAGTCTGATTTGTGGCTTAAGAGTCTTTGTGGTCCTTAAATTCCCATGGCAAACTTATGTTTGTACTAGTCCACAAATAGTTAACTGAGCCAAGTAATTAAAGAGAGGAAAGCAGCAGCACGTTTTGTTAAATAAATAATAAAAATCTACTTGATTCTAGCAGATGTTGTCATACTGTCAGTACAGCGTGCTGTCAGTGAGGCAGCAGAGGGTTTCTGAGTAATTGGAGCCTCTGTTCATAGGTTGACCATTAAGTAATATATTAAATTGTAAAAGTGCTAATCTAATCGGGATTTATATTAATAGTTAGCAAACTAACTAGATAACCCTTGTAAAGACAACCAAGTTAAGAAGGGCTAGAATGGCAATCTTTCTGCTTGCCATTGGAATCACAAAAAAACAAATTGGGTGCACATACAAGTGAAAATCTACATATTAAAATCAATAACAGGAATATGAAATTATTTAATGAGTAATAATAATTGCTGATTGTTTTGATATGTAATGTTGCTTCATTTGATCTTACTAGTTACTCCACGGAGCTAGTATAGCAGATGCTATTCTTAGTTTTCCTTCAGGTTTAGTAACTGAGGCTCTGGGTGATAGGGTAACTGTCCATGGGCAGGCAGCAGAGGCAAGGCGCTACCCCAGGTGCAGCTGTCCCCGATTTTTTAAATCTTACCACCGTGAGACAATGCACATAAATAGTTTGAAATCCTTACTTCAAATCAATCTTGTAACCACTTACGGGGGAGAGTAGTGAGCAGACTGAAGGTAAAGGGATGGAAGCATGGAGAGAATAAGAAAAAGAGGGATAAACAAAGCAAGACTTAGTAGCAGAGGGAAGGAGGGAAGGGTGGAATGGAAAACAGGCTGAGAGGCTAGGAACTGGGGATCACCGTTTGTCACATTCCTAAATGTTGGGATGTAGGTATGTAGCTATGCCAGTTAGTTCTTTAGGAGTTGTTTTTGTGGTTGTTGTAAGTTGTTCCTTATTGGGAAGTAGCCTCTCTATTGGCCTTATTCTTTGAAGTTTGTAATTGTTTTTTGGTCGTTTCTTAATTTTATTTAAAGAAGTGTTTATTTTCCTATGGAATACACTTTTATGTATGTGTTTTAAGTGACTTCAGTTTTAGATATGCACCTTAGAAGTCTATATTTAGTCAATTTTTCCCCTTTGTCTAATTGTTTATTACCGTGTCTAAGAGATTCCTCAATGATCAGAGAACTATACATTCTTATTCCAGGGATAGAAAAGGTTTAACTATAAGCTACTGCTCAAAAATCAGCTGACTTCTTAGTCATAAAATAAATTTTCCAGCACAAATGTCAATCCTGTCTTACCTGGTCATGTATTAGGGAAATCAGGAGACTTAGATTTTTGTACAATTAACAATTTGGGATTAACACTGACCTGTGATAGGGTTTTTGTAAGCAGTTTTATTTTTCTCTGCCTTGAATTTTCTGTTACCTAAAATCAAGTGATGTCACCTTTGCTCCTGTTAAGTTCACAGATATATTCTGAAATATAATTTTGAGAATGAAAAATTCTATTAAATAGGCTCATTCTATCTGTACTATCTGAATTAGCTCTGTGCTCATTCATTTGGCACTTAAGTGTCTAATAGAGTTTGAATACCTCTCTTGGTGGTATTCTTTAGATCTAGGCACCACTATCCGGTTTCAGCAGTGTAATTCTGCCGATTCCAAATCCTGAACTGACTGCTTTCCTATAGGAGTATTCCCTGCAAGGCCATGTAAAGGTTCCTTGTGTACTTGTGTTCTTTTACCTTGTGGAAAAATAGGACAGGGGATAATTGCTTAAAGCTAAAGATTTGGATTTTGGAACATAGTGACTTACAATATTGGTGAGCTGAAAGAGCTCAGGTCTCATTCCAGCTCTTCCACCATGTGGTTGTGTGGCTTTCAACAAATTCTCTGTGGGCTCCCAGTTTCCTAATCTCTAACAGTGGGAATGGGAGTAGTTAGGTGGTTTCAAAAATTTTCACTCAAGAATTTTTTGTGTTTTTCAAAATTAATCTTATATAGAGCCTTCAAATTTAAACTAGATCAAGTAAAGCCATCCTGATTGCTTCAGGAATGGTGGGAGCAGGAACCCCATTCTAAGCTTGCTGAATTTATCCATGTATCATAATTTTAAAGTCACTGGGCTAAATAATTTTGAGGACATTTCCATGTGTAAATGTATTGAGGTCTGTATTTCAGTAGAAATAATCTAATTTACCTTCAGTAGTGGAAACTCTGCTTGCTCAAACACTTCAAGTTGATACTAACCACCAAAACAAACAAACGAACAAACTCTCTTCAGTCCAGTGTTTGATACATGCAGCTTGGTGTTTGGTCCTTCTGACTATGGGGATGTTTACTTGGCACTTTCACACAAGTAAAAGGAAGAGTAGCACCCAGGAATTTTGACAGTTTTAAAAGTCATAGTATAACCTTTTGTGTAAGTTAGAGGTCTCTTGCAACTTTATCAATGGCAAGAAGAAAGCATTAGAGCCTTTCTAATATAGCACTAATATTTATTTCTATACTTGAACTTTTGGTAGTTTATATAAAGATATGTTTACCTAAGAATTTTATTTATTTAACTTACACTATTTTTCCTTATCTAGTTGAAATCCTAGGCCAGCTTCAAAAAAAGGGAGAAGATTTAAGACTTCTCCCCTTTCAAATGCAAGCAGTTTTTATTTACTCAAACAAAGCAAGAAAGCAAAAAAAAAAAAAAAAAAAGAGCAGCTTTGCCACGGCTAGCCTTTCCCTTAGACTGTGTGGGGGTGAAGATTGTATTCCTTAGAAAGAAAAAAGAAATAATAAAATGTCTAACATGTAGGCAAGTTAGAGGAGCTGCACAATATTCCAGCTTTAAAGAGGATCACTTGGTTTTCCTGGAAATTTTATTATCAGGACATTTGACACATTTCATAAGTAGAACATAATATATAGTTAAAATTAATACAATCAAAGTGACTTGATATCCATGTCCTAATCTGGAATCTCAGATTAAACCCCATGCTCCACCACCCTACAAACATCAGAAACTTGAGGGATGATTAAAAATCTGCGCTGACCCTCTTTACACTGCTTATAGTTTACTCTAGGTGACCTCTACCACCATATGCTATGCATTTGTTTCTTGATTTTATGTGTTGACAATGCATGAAATAAAATATTTCAGATCCTTCAGAAAAAATTTACAGCCTAACCTCAGGAGAGTTACCAGCTTTCAACAACCATTCGGGGAACATAAGTCAGACTCCCACGGATTTCCTTAACACCTCACGTGAGAGGGGTCCCTGTGGAGCTGAAGAATTGAGGTAAGTTAAGCCTACAGTTTCTATATAAAGATAGTGCATAGTAAAATGTTGACAAGACCCAACTAGTTATCTTTACTATATAAAGAAAGTTTGTTGTCATGTGTGTACTTTATATAACTATTCTTTTTAAAATATTTGGGTTTTTTGCTGAGCAATTATCAGGCCTATTAATAAAAGGCTTATAAAATTGTTACTTTAAGGTGAAGAAATAGTTCTCTGCTGCACAGTGGGTATCATACAGATGAAAAATATTTGGAATTTAATAATCCTTCCTTATTTCTTCTTATATTGAAAAAATAGTTGCCTTATTGAATTAACCTAATACTGAATTAATTAACCTGATAAATTTCAATATTTTGCATTAATATACTCTTACCCAATATGAATAAAGTTTTTAGAATCAAATATTGTTTCTTTCTTGAAATCGAGTCTAGATTAACAATACCATATTTAATTTGCATAATTTTGTTTTTTCCTCACATAAGGTAATAACATTTAGGGATGTTGATCAGTTTATAAGGAATGTAGGTTATGTTTATAAATGCTTCAGAAAAGTAGTCTACTGTGTCACTTTATTATTGACATACTGGAACTCCTTGAAAAAAGCAGAGGGTTTCTTCTAGAAGAAATAAATGTAAAGTAAAAATTCTTTGTATTGTAAATTCCTTTGATTTGAAGTCTAATATTGCAGTAAAGGGAATCAAGAGTTTGTTATTCTTTCTGAAGGAGGAAATTATTGAGTGGTAGTTCTTGGATTTTTTTGTTTCTAACATCACTCACATTAAAAAAAATGGATCAGTATAAAGTTGCTAATTTTCTCTAAAAAAGTCATTAAAAATTAATTAACCTACATGTATGCTCACCATCATTTCATAAAACAAACGACATTTAACACTAAAAATATGAGGGGAACATACTAACAGAATAAAGCACATCTATTTAATATTAAAAATGTCACAAAAATGTTACTACCTTATCCTTGTATTTTCTTGAACCAGTGAAAATCTTTTCACAGATCTGTACTGGTCCACAGATCAAAGTTTATGAATTGATTTAGCCTGTGTTGGGCATAAAAAATAATACAAAGAACAGTTATATCTATCAGAAGGTGAAGTATTTTATATTATTTAGTGGCATACATGGGCTGAAAATACAGATATCTTAGGACCAAAAAAGCTGAATTATGCAGGCTTCTGTTTTCCCACACCACCTCTGTTCCCAAACCTCATTCACTCATGTGCTAGAGCTTCCACCAGTTCTCCCACACCCCCAACAATAAAATACAACAAAATAAAACAACAAATAAGTACTGTCATTAATTTTTGCTTTGGCATATCTTGACTGGCTATCCATACACTACTAATTTACTGTACACAAAAGAGGTGGTTTATGTGGCAGTCTATTCACTGGTATTCTATTAAACAGCCAATGTAATGATGAACGTTCTTAGTGATGACCCCGAGGCTCTGCAAGTTTCCGAAGTGCCTTCTGAATCATCAGTGAAAGACACAACCAGAGACGATAAAATCCTTCCTTAGTTCTGCTGTGGCTTTATTTCTTGGGAGAGGGAGAATGATGAGAATTTCTCATTAAAAGGAAGATTGGTGTATTAGGCACATTGAAAATTATGACCCCAGTCTTATACAGCCCCCTCATACCTGCCTGCCTCCAGTGACTTCCACGTATGTAATATTGATCAGAAGATAAATGAAGAGTTGAAACCTGGTTCTGTATGTTGTATATTGATCTTGTAATGTATTTTCAGCTCTTCTGGAAGAGATACTGAAATTCAGTCTTTGCTGTCGCTTTCTGAGAGCAGTACAGATGAAGAGGAAGAATTTCTTGACAAGCAACATGTCATCACACTACCATGGTCAAAGAGTACTTAATGATTATTTGTTCATTACCTTTTCCATTTTGTACTCAGAGTAAAGCAAACAACTGAAAAAAGTAACCAAGTGATTACCTGTTTAGGTACAAGAGATTTTGATTATTAATGTCTCTGATGTTTCAAGTCTTGACAACAAATAAAATTCAGTAAAATTACAAGTTTAAGTGCTTTTTCTTCCATTTGATATATTGTATGTCAAACCTTAATCAATATTGCAGATCATAATAACATTTGGTGAATTTTCAGAAATAACAGATATAACTGTGTCTGTAAAACCTACCATAGAATCAAACATGATTATATTTAAAGTCATATTTCATTGTTCAATTATATTTTACATAATTATGTCATCAACAAAAGTGTACCTTGGACAGCATACTAGTCAGGATCATCAATTGACTCTGTAATTATCCTATTTTTTTGGTTAGGATTTTGGATACTTATAGAAATTCTGGTAGCTTCAAAAATTGATGCTGGAAGAATAAAAGAAGATCCAAAATAAAGTGGATATAATATTTATCATATTCTATTCTAGTAAAACATAGGAAAGACCCCCAAACATCTTATTTTCAGAAGGTCAATATAGTGGTTAATTTTACATGTCAGCCTGGCTATCTATGGTACCCAGATATTTGGCCAAACATTACAGTTGACCATTGACAACACAGGGGCTAGGAATACTAATCCCCTCCACAGTCAAAAATCTGTGTATTACTTTTGACTTCACCAAAACTTAACTAATAATAGCCTACTGTTGACTGGAAGCCTTATTGATACATAGTCAATTAATATATTTTTTATGTTTTATATGTTACACACCGTATTCTTAAAATAAACTAGAGAAAAGAAAATGTTACTAAGAAAATCATGAGGAGGCAAAAATTAATTTACTATTTATTAAGTGAAAATGGATCATCATAAAGATCTTCATCCTGTCATCTTCACATTGAGTAGGCTGAGGAAGAGGAGAAAGAGGAGGTGTTGGTCTTGGTGTCTCAGGGGTGTTGGAAGTGGAAGAAAATTCCTATATAAATGGATCCATGCAGTTGAAACTGTGTTGTTCAAGGGCCAAATGTATTCCAGATGTTTTTGTGAAGATATTATTTAAATGAGATTAACATTTAAATCAGTAGACATTGAGTAAAGCTGATTACTCTCCATAATGTGGGTGGGCCTCATCCAATTAGCTTGAAAGAGATAAGAAAAAAAAAAAACAAAAAACATGAGGTCCTTCAAGGTAGAGGGAATTCTATCTTCAGACTTCCTTCAGTCTTGAGCTGCAACATCGTTTCTTCCCTGGGTCTCCAGCCTGCAGGCTAGCCCTGCAAATTTTGGACTTGCTAGCCCACGATTGCATGAGCCGATTCCTTAAATTTCATTCCTCTCTCTCTCTGTCTCTCTCTCTCTCTCGCACACACACCCCTTATTAGTTCTGTATTAGTTCTGTTTCTCCAGAGAACCCTATACAGTCAGATTGTTGTGATGTCAAAGGAAATAATACATGTGGAAGTATTTTACCAGTGTGGGATAGTGGCAGGTCCTATGGTTTGTGGCTGTACCAGATTATATGTAATCTTAGAATTCAAGGGTTTAAGAAAGAGAAGACATGGAGGGATAGTTTTGTGGTTATCAATTTGTGACATTTTAGGACAGTTTCACCTTATAGAGTCTGTTGATGTCAGAAAAATGTCCCTGAAGGTTGGTTACGCTTTCACCACAACATAGCTATGCTTCAAGGCTCAAACTCTTTTGTCTTTCTGTAATTCTATATTACTAACTTCTTACACAAGACTAATAGTTGTTCAGTGTGAATTTATCTTTGATACTTTTTCCTTGGCATTATCAATTTACTGGAATTGACACACATCATCACTGACAGGACAGAAAATGACGATGAAGAGACCTATAGCCATTTCTATGTCTTTTAATTTAAAAACACCCTTTATTGATATGATTAAAATAAATTGGCAATGAACAATCAAGAAAGCCAATAATATAATCAACATAAAATATTGCAAAAGAAATAAATATCTTTTAAAAGAGTGTGACTCTTCAGTAATTTTTACTGTCTTCTTAACACTTCCTGTATCACAATCCCGCAGAAAGACTACAGTGAGTCACTCTGGAATCATCATTTGTTTCAAAAGACCTCTTGGCATCTTATCCTGAGGCTTCTGGCTTTCTGAATTTTAGTATCTATAGTTAAAATGGGGATTGCCTGTTCATCTGTTAACATAGGAAAAAAAATTTTATGTCATCATACCTGCTCAGATTTAAAGTTTCTTGATTTTCCCTACCCTCCTTTACTCTAAGACATCTTCCTTTTCTCTTCTGATGAAGAAACAAATTGTTCCTCTGGGTGCAATTTACAAAACTCCAGTGCTTCTCTCAAAGGGGAAGAAGGGGATGTCCCGTTCTTGTTAAGAAAGGGTTGCACCACTACTGTTTCTTCTTGTATTCATTCATAGCTTGAATCTTTTATGAACTGGCTCTGAAGAAAATTTTATACAATGTCTTATCTTTTACAATATAAGAATTTTGAAATGAATGTTAAACTGATAAGTAATTGTCATTGAGTGCATCTGTGGCCAAGATTTGAGATAAAGAGTGTGCCGCTGACTTTGTCATTTGACTTCCAATATGACATTGAAATGAAACATGAGGATGCTCTGTGGCAGAACAGAGCAGACCCCCTTCTGCTTTATTTGCTTCCCATACCACACATTTAGGAAAGTTCCTTAGTTCCGTTGCCATTAGTCTAATGAAGAAATAAAACCTAAATAAGGTTAGAGCCTTTGCCTGAAGCTGCTTCAACGCGTTCTTGCATTTTGAAGCTCAAGCTTAAAGTTGCTGTTAAAGGACTGCACTGAGTTCTGACTGTGGATTCGAGAGAGTTACAGATATTCCAGAAGAATCCCAACCTTATTTCTAATTCTAGAGTGAGTATAGTCTGCTTTTAGCAATGTATTGAATAAATTAACACCCGATTTTACATGTGTGTTGGGGTTTGATAGTTTATACCCAGACTTGCATAGTGCTGTGATAGCCGTAAGAAATTCTATAATTTTACAGCTCTGGAAATACACATGATGGAAACTAATTGACATGAAATTATATTTGATAGTTTTAATACATTGTTTGATATCTACTGAATTCATTCACATCTAGTGCACTCTGAGTGTGTCATACACTGCAGGCCAGTGGTGTGTGCTAACCCTGAGATCATTTAATGTCGTACCTTATGTGTCAGGTCCATAGAAAATATTTCTCCAACAAATTAATGTTACAAAATGTCTTTACCTCTATAATACGGCACTCAGATATTTTAAGCAAGGCCTTGATTCAGAAAAGCAGTTCACTCTGTCCCTTTGATTCAATTTTTGGAAAGACCTTGAGCATCGTTCATCTTATCCTGGCACATCCTATTTCTTATCTCTTAGATCTCAGAATGTATCTTCTCAAAGAGGCTTTCTCTAATCTGTATCCAAATTTATTCCCCCTGCCGTTTTTCTTTATTCTTTCTCATTGTATCCTGATTTTTCCTTTAAAATAATTACGATTATTAATATAGGTATGTGTTTTTGAAGGTATGTCTCTCAACTAGACTATAAATTTCAACAGAGCATGGATCATGTCCTTTTTGTTTGCTGCTACACTCTTAGCCTCTAGCAGATGTCTCGCTCAGACTGGGAGACCATTAGATTAGCTAATGAATAAATGAATGTGCAGTATCCAACTGATAAGCCATCTCAGTCCCTAACTTTCCCAAGCAGAGACAATATGATATATGTAGTGAGGAGAAACACAAGGTCTATCTTCAGATCTTCATGTTATACTATTTACTGGTAGGCAGATCACTTATTTAATGTATTTCTTCATCATAAAACGGAGAACTAGATTTTGACTTTACTTAGTTAAAAGGAATGTTGTGTGAGAATCAAATGAAGTAACGGATGCAAAAACACTTTTAGAACTGCACAGTGCTCTACTATGCTTATTATCATCACTTTTCATGAGTTTATGCCAAAAACTTTGAACAAATTAATGTTGGATCAATAAGTGAAGTTAGGGTCAAGTTGATATAAATGATCCACAAAAATCATTCAATATCAGAAGTGGAGAATGCTTTCAGTGAGTTGGATAATTAGATTATATCTAAAACTGGTGTTTATGTTAAAAGCTAGATATCTAAATTCATTTCATAAAAAAATTTCTGAAACATTGTTCTGTATGTTTATAGCTTTCTTCTATCATGTGTAAATTCAAAGTTTTTAAATATTAAAATTGTACGAGCATTTTATAAACACCCTGTGCATAATACTTCCAGAGAGAAAAAAAATTTAAAAACATACTATTTATACCTCCTCAAATCTGTTTTGTAGGATATTCTGTTTCATCATAATTTTCATCCCTGGTTATTTATTACTAGCTAAATTTGCATGAAAACAATGTTTATTTCCTCAGAGTTCATCTGTGCCTGTAGTTTATCCCCCACCTAAAGTCATAATTCTTTGTTAGTGATGCTCTGATTGTTTGCTGGGTAAATGATTATGATGTTGCAAACAGGATTATGACTTTAGCTGGGGAATAACCAGCAGGCATAGATGAACTCTAAGGAAATAAAGATCCTCTTCTTTTAATGCAAATGTCTTCTATAGTTAAGGAAAAGGAAAGAATTTTCCTAACGTTTTCTATAAGGTGACAGTTATGTTTAAAATGAAAAGAATTAATTGATTGATGTGGTTTCTTTTTCAAATACATATAATATACAATAACAGTTACGGAAACATAGTTCTGAAAAGACTATATACACTTGTACCCGAAAGAAGCAATATGTGTATAGCTTTCTAGTCAGAAATAATGAATATATATATTTATATATACACACACATTATTCTAGATATAGATGCTTTTACAGATCTCCAAGGGTGAAAATGTAGTTCATCCATATTTTACAATTAATTAAACCTTATATACTCAACATAAGTATGAAAGAAATGTTTTAGTGTAAATTTTGGTACAATTTCACATTTTTTATGTAAATGTCATATTTTTATAGGATAATATTTTGTTGTGCATTCTAATGCTGAATGTCCTCAAACAGCTTCTGTACTTAAAAAACAAGAGTGAAAGTGCAGGCAGGAGATGAGCAGATGCACAT